CCAGGTGTTCCTTAGTTGCTTGAGTATTATAATTTCATTAAAAGGAGGAAATTCATTCATGGTTTCGGCTTTTCAGCTCAATTCATGCAGAGATCGGAACCTCCCTGTACACTCCAGCTAGTGGTCGGTCCAGCCGTTCTTCGTGGCATTCGTCTGCACCTCCTGCGAGCTGCTGCTGCAGAAATACAGGAACTTGCTTCGCTTTATTCATCAATTTGCTTTGTTTTCGTGAATTGCATCTTTTATAATTAATAAAATATAAAACAAATGATAAAAAGGTAGAGACACACCAGCAGGATATATGCGACAGTCGGGAATCTGAATGGTCGCATAATGACGGCTTGCAGCTTAAGTACGGGTGCGAACGAGAAAGCATCTTGAGAAGAATTTCGGAGATAAAGAGTGCAACAACTCTCCAATAACAATTATCATAATAATTTAAATAATTTTATCATTTTAAAAAGCAAAAAAAGGAAGTAATCGAGTAGTCAGTCTGCCACCGTTTCAGCCTCTACGCCCGTCTCCGGCGACGAAGCGCTACCACTGCATTGACCATGTGTCTTCTTCCTCTTTTCTTTCTGTTGTCGTTTTACGAATAAGTTAAGTGTTTAAACAGAAGAAATGAATAAAAAAGACGTTCCATTCCTTCTGTCTGCAAAAGAGGAAAAGGGAGAAGACCAAACCGCCGTACCAGTACTTGGTGCCTCGGGACCCTCGATGAAACGCTACAGAAAGCAAAAGAAAACGAAACGATTCAATCGCCCTCTTCTCTATTTAATTAACCTTATTACAATGCTCAACGAGTTGTATATACAACAGAACTTCGCATACAAAATGCCTTTTTGCACTCCAACTCTGCAGCACTAGCAACCGCCGATGTTGCAGTTGCGTCTCGTTACTGTAGTTGATTGTCTGTAGTTTCACTGTTTTTTTCACTTTTATAAAACCAGAAAAGGATACAGCTGACTGCTGACCCCTCTCCCTCTCCTAGCCGCCGTGGTCTGGTGTTT